TCTGAAGTTTGTCTGAGATGAACACGGCTGGATTTGATTTCGTGTCACTCGTACAAATTGTTGCTACCAAAAGTCCTAACCAACTATTGCCGATGGAGCTGCACGTCCTGATTTATATTTGACCTGGGTTTTTCTGAACTGTGGCACGAATAGTTAACCAAACATGAGACAAACTGAAGAAGAAGTAACAAATGCTAATAAGTTCTTCAGTGGTTCTACATTTATGTCTCTATTGATTTGAATCCAACAACAAACTTGGTTTAAAGAACATTTTGTTCAACACACTGAACATTTTGTGGTTTCATGGATGGACTAACACAAAAAACTTGTTGTTCAGAATGTCTGGTGCACTGGTTTTAAAACTGAACCAGAACAAAACAAGAAAAACACCAACCTATTTGTGCATCACAAAATATCTGTGGATGTAAAAAAGCACAGAGTCAGAAACAGATTTCAACCTGTTTGTTGTGAACATGAATGTTCATCACAAATGAAACAAAAAAGGACGAGTACCAACAATATTTATGAAGAACATTTAATTTAAATAAATTTTTTTCCACTTGTTTGTCTAATACATATTTTAGAACTCCAATATTTGCTTTTCTGGTCATAAGAAAGAAACAAATCCAAAAAACACTAAATGTAATATGTTTGTTTTATTTACTTTAAAAAATGAATATTTTTGTAAACTTACATTTCCTCCGATCCCCAATCCACAAAGGAGCAACAAGACGAGCAGACCTGATGACATCTGTGCAAACATTAGAGTTAATTTACAGTTCAGACAGAACCTTAGAGTCACAATAATTCAATCTGCAATATCAGTAATTAATAATGAAACATGTTTTAAATTAACCATTACTAAATGTTTTAAGTCTCATAATACAGTTGAAATAATAATTGTAGATTTTGTTATTTTCACCATTAACTTCATTTTAACATTAAGGTTTATAATTTTTACACACCAGATAAATATAATCAGGTGTAGACTGACTTTTTTCTGTATTTATGAATAAAAACAGTCAGATGTTACCTTGTTGTGATGTTTGGTCCAAGCAGCAGCAGCAGCAGCCGTAGCAGCAGCAGTAGCAGTAGTAGCAGCAGCAGCAGCAGCAGCAGCAGCACTTGCTGAAAGAAGGATGCCTTTGAAAAGTGAACACAGTGCTTTTATACCTTTACACTGTTGGTGAACCTGTCAGTCAACTGATGGCATGTCATGAGGAATAGACACACTGGAGGACATTTCTACTCATTGGTTTTTCTTAAGAAAGCTCACATTTCCAGTTTTGTTTGTTTCTCTCCACCCACCAGGTCAGTGCAGCTGATAATATTTGAGTGGAAACGCTGGTTTGGTTTTTCATGAAAGAGTTTAGTTGAACTTTTCTGATAAAGGGATCATGATTTTGATCTGGATATTAGAACAGTTGGGCCTATTTAATTATTATGGGCTGCTTTTCTTGTGTCCACAAACCACAATGCTCTTAACATGTATTTGTTGTTTTTAATCTACTGCAGGAAAAACTCTCTTCTCTCCTAAAAAACATATCAGCAAATGTGTTGGCTCTGTGATTTATGAATGACCAGAGGCAGCTTAAAGATAAACTGGTTTGTGCATCCATTTCAGAGAATTACTTTGTTCAAGGGTCTTGTGTAAACAAGTCAAGATTCAAAAACATAAGCTACTTCGGTAAGTGGTCCGGTTACAAGAGGGCAGAACTCCAACAAAGTGCAATAATTTGTAAAATGAAATGTGTTGTTAAGACCTTCCCATTAAATGATGAAGCCACCAGTTTTCTCAATCTTGTGAATGACATATTTCTGCTTGTAATGTTGCACCCACATGCAGGAAGACAATGGGACATTGGAGTTAAATTAATAATGACATTTATTTTTACAAATAAAACAAATGTGTTCACGGGGCAGCAAGAACTCAGGTTTTGGAGAAGAAAGGTTGAACAGACACAGAACATATAGTATTCACCACTTGCTCTTGCCAAGTTCAGACACTTTTGCCCTCCTCTCCCTCTCCGCTTTGCCTTGCTGCTCTGCCTTTTCTGTGCAACCGCTTTTGAGTCTCTCTTGCATACCTTCCAATTTGTAATTATGGACTTGGATTTGGGCAGTTTGTCCCTCAACACAATTGATAACACTTCTTCGAAGAGAAGACAGGCTTTAGGTGAGCCGATTTGCCCTGTTGGCATGCACACAGCTGGATATCTCATTGACTTGGAAGACTTGATGAAGTGTCTATCTATGCTGCCATTTGTGGATTTTAAGGACCCATTTATAATTGGATTTATGATAACTGGTTCCTGCTTTTTGGATTTGGCTGGTTCTTGGTCTATCAACAATCAAGGAAGTCGTCGGCAGCAAATTTGGATCCTATCATGCTGCTTGCCTTATGATGGCTTGGTTTGTGCCTCGAGCACCCAGACTCACATGCTTTTGGCAGAATGAATCAGATCTCAGGGATTATTTTCAAGCATGGTCCATTGGTGTGGCCATGTAATTTGGACATTTCAGAACCGAGTGAACCAAGACAGACTCAAGGTAGATGTCATTAAAATTCTGCCTGTCCCCAAAACAACCTCCTCCTGCAGGTTTCTTTTGTTTGTTTCCTCATCGCCAACTCAGATCTATCAGTAAGCAATCTGATCCCAAGCAATTCAAGCCTGAGGATGTTCAAAAAGGGAGATCCTTATGCACGATTCAGCTCTTCCTTGTGGATCCGAGATCAGATGTTGAGGGTGGTTTTCAAAACACCAAAATGTTAGGATACATTAATAGTATCCCTTCAATAGCTGATTAAATAAATGTGCCACATAGAAGCAAGGAGATAATTTTCTTAATCCCAGTTTAATCTTGCAAGATAGAACAGAGTTAAAATACAAGCATCAAGATGTTTATAAGGCGTTTTATCTCCAAGCTTGCTCACCGAGAGCATAAAAGAGTACCTTTTTATAATGGCTGTCAGTCAGACTTGAGGTTAAAAAAATGGACTATAGTTATATAGCACTTTTCTATTTTATCAAGACACTCAAAGCTCTTTACAACAATCTGTGCCTCATTTACCCATTCATACAGCACTCTACTATATCTCTCCAAAGAATAATCAGTGCTTTATCACATTCATACACTGATGGGACACACATCAGAGACAATGTGAGGTTCAGTGTCTTGTCCAGGGATACTTGGGCATGTGACTGGTGGCATCAACCCCCCAACTCTTGCATTGGAGGACGACTGCTCTAACCATTCAGCCACAGCTGCCCAGACAACTTTTACAGCCTATTTGCTAAGAGCCTTGAGTTTTATGAGGTGAAAGCTCCATGCCCCTGCAGCTCCACTTTTGTCTAGACAAAACACTCTAACACCACACATGGTTCATATATTGTACATTTGACATTAATAAGTGAAAAACATCTGTGATGTTTCACGTCTCCATCACCCATCACTGCACTCCATATTCAGTGGTTAACTGGTACTTCAC